TGAGTGTGTGTAAGGGGGGGAGGGAGGGGTTGTAGGAGTTCCAACAACTGGAAAGTAAAAAGAAACAGTGTAAACGTTGCAGTATTTTTGGCATGTTAAGACAACTCCGATCATATAGGGCTTATAAATTCCAAACATCCTTGCATTAAAGTGTATTAAGATCTGTAAGACAGACTGACCCCCCGGGAAATAACAAAACATCAGAACAGCCAGTCTATTTAAAGGTTGGCACCTGAGGAAGAAAGCAATCGAAACCTTAGTAGAATATCAACTGTAAGAGAAAAAATTAATTCGTTATAAATACATGTATTGATTTTGTGCAAATTATCGAAAGTCAGACGAACAATAGTACAAAACCAGCTAGATCTAGTTGTTGCTGAAAAACTGGCCCGGAAAGATGAAAAAGAGCTGCATGTTAGCCAGATGTATACATTATATTTGAACCCTTTATAAGAACCAAGTGCAAGTGCAATTAATAAGATATTTGGAGATTTTTTTTAACAGATGAGTGGATCATGCTGTGTTTTAACAAATATAGATCGATCTCTTTTATTCCTATTGTGAAAAGACAACTCGAAGTCAAGCAACTTTTAAAATAAATACAATTTAAAATTTAAAATAACTGATTAATCAATTTGTATTTGTATTGCTTTGTCTTTCTTGGCCCTCTCATTTTTCTTGTTGATTTTGCAGCGATTTTTGTCACTGTCTTAACTGCTATGTTATTAGCCTACCATTACTGTTGTTTCGTTGTTGTTGTCACTGCTCTTGCTGTCGTTGTCTTATTTGCTGCTTATGGGAATCGTATATTCAGACCACACAATGCGTAGAAGCCGAGCGGTTGGTTGTTTTCATCAGATGTGTCTCACTTGTCAGAAACAAACACAAGTTTGGAGGATTCTATCAAGTCATGTCAAAACGGTAGACCCATCTTTTCTATGAAGAAAGACCTAGCCGCCCTCAAATGTATCAAAATTACCAAATGTGTCAAATAACGCATCAAATCGTCAGTCACCTGATCGTGAATTTTACAATTTTTTAGGAACCGTTTTGGTTTTTTGGGGGTTGGGCTTCTTTTCTTTTTGTGTGTGTGTCTGTTGTTGTTGTTGTTTTTGTTATTGTTGCTGTTATTGTTATTGTTGTTGATGATTATTGTTGTTTTTGTTGCTGTTTATTTTTCATATTTGAAGAAGAAGAAGAAGATATAGCATTTGTAGAGCGCAAATCCCCGCTCAACAGCAAGCTCTGTGCGCTTCACAATCTACACTATTACCCTAGCAGACCTGAGAGCATTCTGAAACAACCTCAAACTTCCTGGGAAGCATACAGTGCAAGCAGCCATTTATAGGCGCTAAAATCTGGGTGAAGTGAGGAAAATTCGTGTAAAGTGCCTTTCCCAAAGACACAACGTCGGGCCGGCGGTCCGAACCCCCGAACCCGTATCCTCACGATTACGAGTGCGGTAGCCAACCACTAGGCCACTGACGCCACATGCTTTACATGTACCATCAATGTCTTGTTGGTGTAAGACGTGGAAAAGCTCTTCATGTCATGTCTTACCTTACCTTGTCATAAATGCCTTGAAATAAACAGAGATACACAAATTGATAAATATGGTGGTGGTGGAAAGTGGAAAGAGAGAATAACAAAAAGTAGGGAAAGAAGTAGAAAAGGCGTTGTATCTCTGCTTTTATAGTAATAATAATATTTTTACAGAAAGAGTTTAAAACGGGGGGTGCATTACTATTATCATCCCTTTGTTGTCTCCAGGAGGCCAGTCTTTATCCGCAAACATGTACATTTTTCAGCACACATGATCTGAGTAAAGAGAACATCATAAAAATGTCTCCACAGCACGGACCGTTGTCTGGGCGCGCACGTAGGTGACGCCTTTGCCAGCGCACGGCGTGTCTACACGACGATCATAAATTAAGCGCTTGTACTTGTACAAGTTGTATGTATGCTGCCCAGTCCAGGAGAGCGAGGCTACACTGCTATACGTGAACATTTGAACAACGGGGATTTGACAGTCTGCGGGCATCGGACTTTGCCTTATCTGCCTTAACTTTCCTTGCTTTCTTCAACATAATTTGTTGCTTTAAAAAAAAAAAACAAAATTATGTTTCTCGGACACATCGAACAGATACCACAGATTAACTAAGATTGAAACTTGAAAAACAGATAATGAAAAACGTATCGCTTAGTAACATTCGAATTCCTGGCCGCCGACATTTTCTTCCTGCCGGCTGAACTGTATCTCATACGGGCGGTGGTGTCGGGGAAAAGCAGCTTGCCTCACATTACCGGTACTCAAAAAAGATCTAAATTGTGTCGATGGTGAAGTAAAACATGTTTCTCGATGGTATCGATTCCAAACAGATCAAACTAAAACTGGGTTATAAGTACTTATGCAATGTAAAGCAGGGTGGGGGCTCTCGTGGCATACAGATCAAGGTGTTCGCCTCTCATTCAAAGGTCCCTGGTTCGAATCCGGGTAATGACCGAAACCTTTTCTTCCTCTAAAATTGTCTCCTTTCACCTCCTTTCCTGTTCTCTAGCAATGATCTGTCGCCTGTTTTCGTTTCCACTTTCTGCCCCCACCTCCTTGGCCCCCTCCTCTGGGCTCCTGACTCTTTCTGCAGCCTTTCTACTGCTTCTGATTGGTTTCTTCTTACTGCTGTCTTTCAGCCACACCCCTGATTTTCTGGTAGGAAAGATCTACACCTAGCCTTCTCGAAAAAGGGCGAAAAATCTCGGAGGCCCCGTGTGCAAGTTGCGCAGGTTAAAGATCCCTTGGCGGTCTAAAATCGATAAGACTAAGAGTAGCCTTCGGCATTCAAAATTACCTACAATTGAAAAATAATGTTTAAGGAGTCCCGCGCGCTCATATGACCTTATGCAGTTGCGAGCGCCGTAAAACACACCAAAAAAAAGCAGGGTAAAATATTTTCACAATATGAAGTAGAACAATTCTGTGAATAGGAATGCCTGAAAAAATTGAGAGCCTCTTTCATAGTTGTTTTTTTTTAAAGTCTGTAGCCTCTCCTGTATATAATATAAAAAAAGGCTTCCTGGGAGAGAGCCTATCTGTGCCAAAACACCATAGGTACCCATTTAAATAACTACATCAGAACTTGCAACACAGATAGGTCATATAATGCCGAAGATCAGAGGTGTAAAACTAGAGAGTAACATAAAAATACAAAGAAAAAAGGACAGGAAGGTAAGAACTAAAAAAAAAAGGAGAAAGCCACACTAGAACACCCGCCAACCATCCACTCAGTGTAAAGCCTGACACTAAGTAATAATGTATAGTACACAAAAAGCAATGTACACAGATATATAACATTAAAATAAAAAAAACCACACAAATATTATGGAGCAACCAAAATTTTAATTTAATTTTTTTTTCGGTCAAAAAAACCTCATTCAAATTAAAACACTTTTTATAAACACTGTCTTTAGCAAAACGCACCAATCCATATAAATTATTTTTTTAAAAAGAAAATGATTCTGAGTCAAATCCATATAATTTACTTTTGAACAGAAATTTTATACAATTGCCAAGACACTGTGGAATCAGGCGTCCATCAATTTTTGGGCAGAGGAGTTAATTTATAGCATTTGTGTCGCCACGCGGTGGAATTAGGCACTCGTCAATTTTTTAGCATATATATATATATATATATATATATATATATATATATATATATATATTGGAGTAATTGGTATCATTATAAAGTGTGTTCTTTTGTCTTGCTTTTATTGAAAAAATTACACACTGATCTTGAATAGGAGTCGATATATTTTTGCAATTGAAATAGATGGTGTTGCTTGGTTTCAGAAGTAAAATTAGCGAGAAAATGGCCGGCAAAGTTTGGTGACTACCAAGGTGTGAGTCCTTGAAAAATGCAAAATTACATCTTTTGTGCTTTTGATCAACGTTTTTCAGTCAAATCTACACATGAATGTTTTTTTAAATGGACATTAAAGATGTTGAGCCAAAAAAAGATAATTTTTAAAAAATTGCCAAACGTCCATAAAAATGCAGATTTCTTTGATTTCCTTATTTTGACGAGCGCCTGATTTCACTAGGATTCCTCACATTTTACAGCTCTTTTATTTGCCTTGCTTTTGGTGAAAAAATACTCATCTTTTTAAAAAATGAATTAAAGTAGAGAAATTTGTGATTGTAAGATGTTGAGGTTACCCTGTATCAGAGGAAAAATTAGTGAGAAAATGGCTGCCAAAATTTGGTGACTTTCAAAGCTTGGGAACTGCAAATTTACATTATTTGTGCCTTTGATCAACACTTTCCAGTAAAATCCACATATAAATGTGTTTTTAAATGGGCATAACTGGCATAACAGGTGTTGAACCAAAAATTGAAAAAAAAAAAAAAATTTTAATTGTCCCTAGACCAGAAAAATGCAAGTTTCTTGGTTTTCATATTTTAGACAAATCTGATTTCATCACAATTGTAAATTTTTTTTTAAAAAGGTTCAATGGTTTCTTATACATCTATGACTCAGAATCAAAAATTCTTTACCATTTGAAAGATAGAGGGTAGGGTGACACATATTGTTAAATCAAATCAAATTCATAAAATAGGTCCCGTATAACGGAAAGTATAGAATAATTAAATAAAAACAAAAGCTTACAACTCAAATATACTCCTTTGAATTAAACAACCGTACCACAACAAGTAGCATTATGTGTGCATTATACATAAATATCTGTATTCCAATAACCAACAAAATTATCAAGTAAAAATAATGACTGAACGAAAATGATAAAAAATTAAATGAATGCGCATTAAAAAAATTGGCCCTCTTCCCCCAATAAGGAAGGCAATTCAATTTCTCTTCTTTTTTTCTGTCACTCACCAAAACACACATTGAACATAACACATGTGGCCTATACTATATTATATCATACATTTACTCACAAATAAAATGCAGGGTACAACAGGGTTTCAGGTTCCGAAATAGTTCACTTACATTATATTCTCACGGAAAAAAGAAAGTTTAATATAGAAATCAAATTGTACTTGCAAATCAAATTCCTTTACTTACTTCCTTCCTTCCTTTACAGAGTCCATTACATATATTTTTCTAAACAACACACGCATCAAGGAAGAAGCTATGAGTTATGAGGATAACTTATTTTCATTGGAGAGTCCATTTTAGCACAATATCTATCACAAGTTGAGCATCTCCTTTTCCAAATTCACAAATGACTGACTGACGACACAATCAAAGCAAGGAAAAAATAAGTTGTTTGATGAACAGCTGGGGGAATCTGATGCTAGATTTTTTCTAACTATTGCCCAAGTTCATCTAACATTTGAAGCGTGGTCAGTTCTCTTTGAGATTGGTATTTATCCAGAGACATTACACGTCGCAGTGATGCAGGATGCAATCTGTTCTGGACATGAACACGGTGGATGTGTCGGTCTTGTCTCTGCCTTGTGATCCGAGACCTAAAAGGTCTATCATTCGTCTTTCTAGACACACCGACACATGCCCACAAACGTCCAATACTGTTTCTGTAGACGTCGAACCTTTGAGCCCCATCTTGCTGTGTACATGATACAATGTACTGACAAGTATCCACTTTCAAACAAACACAGAAAATCAAGTTTTATTCCCATGTGGAGAAATTTTTTTAATAAAGTATCGCAGTCTTTCTGTAGGGACATTTTATACCTCTCAGCCCAGATGAGCCTTTAATGGCAGGGCCAAAGTCAACGTCCTAAATTATCTAAATTGTGTCGATAGGGGTGTAAAACATCTACTTAAAAAAAACAACTTGGTAATGGTGAACGAATAAAAACCAAAATGAACAAATGACCATGCACAGAAGGGTGTGCAAAAAAAGAAAAGGACACGCAACAGAACACGGACACATTTTAGAGTCTTACAAATATAAGTTTATAGTTTATAGAATGTGCATGCAAGACTGTATACATGTTACAAGTACCTTCTCAAGCCTGCAGAGAATTGAAAATCACGAGGCTATCTTCATTCAAACTGAACAAAAAAGCCATAAAAGTTAATCTCCCACCCATTCTGGTCATAAAAATCATGCCCTCACAATCACCTGAACCACAATAGATTTGTACATTCGAAATTATTTTGCACTATGGCAGATAAAAAATATCATATCTTTCAATTTTTCGTTCCAATCGCTGTTGTAAATTATAAAGCAGTGGATGAGATGTTATACCGCTGGTATGAAGAGCTCTAATTGGCCTGATTGATATCACGCATGTTGTCATAAAAACTGGAAGGTGTATAATGTAGGCCTACTATACAAAATTATCTACTACACCTGTTCTCTCCTGAATAAAATAAAAAAGTGCAGAAAAGTTCAATGTTTTTGTTAAAGAAAGCGTTTCTATATAAAACATGTACAAAAATGTATACGGAGGAGTCGACTTTGTTTAAAATTTGCAAGAGTGCCAAATTTTCAATTAAGAGAGATTTGTCCAAACAGAAAAAACATATTAGTACATTAAAATGTTAAAATGCTTGTAAACAGGCCTTTGCAAAATATGGTCACAATTTCATTTTGATAGCCATTGCTTAAAACAGAGATGGGAGATAATAATAATAACTATAATGAAAATTTATATAAAGAGCCTACTCCCTAGAGGGTTGCGCTGTGCAATGCAGAATTATCAATGAACTTAAATGAGAAATCAGAGAACTGAAAATGGACATTGCGAGATCATTTAACTTCACATATGCTAATAAATCCCAGACCCACACACATTCTCACACACAAAATTTACTGGCAGACGGTTGCAATTGTATTGTCTTAACACTTTTCGTAAACTCTCTTTTCTGATGTTATGAAATACATTTATTTTGTGAGAGAATTTCAAATTTTTTAAGCATAGGAGAAAAAGCTCTTCCGCACAACTTGTTAAACTTCACTGTGTCTCTGATAAAACAAGAAGGCAAAATTTTTCAACAGAGTCAAAAATTCTCTCTTTCTAAAAAGGTACAGGTAGTTAAACTACCGGAATCAAATGTAAATTGAAGGCTTTATCAAGTGTTTGACATAAACCATCACTAAAAGAAATATTGTAAAGGGAATTTGGCTTGGCACCTTTTTGCAGTACTTTGTTTTTCAACCTTTTACGTGTATCAGCGTGGTTTGGTCAAGACTTTTTCTGTGAATAGGGGCTAAGCCACAATATACACAGATCAGTAAGTGTGGTACAACCTGTGATACTACACAATGGCAAGTTTATATTATATGGAAATGGATTTTTTTTTTAAAGACCCCCCCCCCCTCTTAAATCAAGTGACGCCAGAGTCACTGCAGCACAATGCATTGCAAACTTAAATTTAGGATACGTTTTCGATTTCCTTCTCACTGATAAGAAGTAATTTCCCATTCCTCTTAATGAGCCTGCATACACAATCTTAACAGAGCTCATAATTATAAGCTTAATTCAGTACAAGTATTCATTTTCAACAACTTATTGCAAATATAACGTATCACAATTTGTGTAAGATGGCTTGCAGACGTTAAAGGATAGAACATTAAGCACAATACAGTAGCACCATAAGACAAGAAACAAAAATTGACCTTAGTGACTGCCTTACCAATATATTATATTAAAAATATAATGTATATATTGTCAAACTGCACCTCTTACTAATTTTCAGATGGCCTACCAACATGAGAATAGGGGCAGCCATTGAAAAAGTATCCACAGAAATCCTCATAATTTAAGCCAAAATTACAAGTGTAATTGACATTGTATTTACTCAACTGGTAAGTGTAAAGTAAGAGCACAGTTTTAACACCCCATTCAACAATGTTAGGTTATTTAAAAATGTGACATCTCCAAAGTGACGTCCATCCCTGACAGGACTGAGAAAAATGTGTTGAGAGCCTTAACAGTAACACTATCCATCCATGCAGCGCGCAACACTTATCCCCACGGACCAGGATACAGATGCGGTACATGCTAGATCACACCATTGCTAGTTGGCGTCCCGTACTGGCAAAGTGTTAAAAACTTCATAAAATGATCCAAGGTCAAGAACACCCAGGATTCAAACCAGGGCTGTCCACTCCATAGTCCAGCATGAAAACAACTCAGCTCACAAAATGTATTTTTTGTGAAGTGCACTGACAAAACAAGTAGATTCTAGGATTTAAGTCGGGAAATAGATACAGTAAATATATATAATTTACAGTTGGTGAAGTTATTAAAAGTATGAAATAATGAAAGACATATTAAACTCAAACAAAACGGCATCAAATGAAAGTCTATAAATTTGACCCCGGTGTCGAATTTACGATGATATTTCCATTTGTGGATGCAAGAAGTAACTCATTTTGTCAGTGCACCTCACATTTACAGTAGAGTATAGTATAGTGAATTCTTTTTTAATGCTTCAAAAAGTAAGCATCTCATTTCATCAATCGTTTCAAAATAAAATTGCTCAAAATTGAATGTGAACATGCACACTCATGCATACAAAAAAAACTTGTTAGCTCATTGACCACTCCTTAAAATGCCACATATATTTCCAATCAATGCTCCAAGTTGTCATAAAAGGCATGGGCATCTGATGGGATCACTGCTTTCAATTCCTGCAAGTCCCTATATTTTGAGCTGGGGATAGGTATTCTTTGTGAGTGTAGTGCAGGGACAGCAGTGCTTGATAGTAATGATAGCGTGTAGTTGTACTGATCAGGAATGTCTTGCCAGTCCTCACAAAAAGCGAGCTTGTACTGAATGTTCCCATGAGAGGAATAGCGAAGAGCTCGTATGTCATCCACTTTTACATCCCCAGCATTTGTTCCTGGTAGAATGGTTGAGTATTCTTGTACGGACGAATACTTCCTGAAAAAAGTGTGGTCTAGATATTTAACATCGTATGGACGAGAGCTTTGACCTGCCAATCTGAAGACATTAATGTAATCACATGGTACATTTATAACAGCATTTTTGAGAGAACGTTCAATCACACTATGAACACTATCAACTTCCATTTCAGTGTGCCCCTTAGTGAGGTATTTCTGATCAATAATGATGTTGAGTTCACGAGCAAGATCCATGATAGCACTAGCAAGCGTAGCATTTTTGCTCTGGTACAGGCACCCATCACTGTACAGTATTATTCTGCCATAAGTACCAGCGAGGTTCTGTAGGTAGTCTATGATGCACGATGAGAATTCATCAGATGTCAGTCCACCTTCCCCCTCATGCCAAACATAGCATTTCACATCTCGTGTTGTAATATTAAAGACAGTGAAGTTATGCACAGCAAGTTTTCTTCGGTAGTAAAGAGCAGACGCTTTGAGCATGGGACTAAACAAGATGGATTGAAGACTCATGCAAAAGACACCCACCCTGTCCACTGGTTCCATTCTTTGAGTCTCCAGTGCTGTTTTAATGTCATTTTCTTTCTCTTGTTTTGCAGCCTCTTTCCTTTCTCTATGAAGCACCCAAGTATCTTCCGTTGAGTCACCTGATCGATATCTGACGCAAATGTCACACTTATCCTTTTTATGGGGAAACAGGGCCAAGTTATTTTTGTCGAACTCCTTCCTAAAGACATCAATCCCCACTGCAGTGATTTCATTTTCAATACATTTTTCCACATAAAGTCTATGAACCTCTTTTATAGTTTTGAACATTGGCTCCAAGTACAACTTTGACGAGCTCTTTTTACAATAATGGCTTGATACTTTTGGAAGACAGTCAAAAAACTTAAGATTTAAGAACAACTTGGAGTCTCCTGATCTATTATAGTGTGCATGTGATTTCAAATTTCTCTTTTTTGGTTTTGCAAACAGGCCCCTAATGAATCTTGATCCTAAATCCATTGTGTTGCAAAACATTAATCTGCACACCTCAACCTTGTCATCGCCTTGTCTCAAATAGTACCGAAAAGTGAACTCACGGAGAGAATTAGGATTTGGTGTGTACTGCTTCAGTTTTCGCTTCCTGTCTATGAGACCTTTCACGAGTGTCTTTTTCTCTTTCCAGTCTAAATCCCAGACCTCCTTGAACAATGCCATTCTATCTTCTTCTGTTACATCCCCACACTTCAAATATTTTGACTTGCAGAAACACCTGGGTTTCATTTCCCTCTTAGGCCGCTCAACTCCTCTCTGTGTCATGTAAGGTAGCCCCATTTCTCTCAGTCTTTTGCGCTTGTTACATTTCCACTGTTCTTCTTTCCTTTCGCGTTTTCCAGGGGTCTGAGAATGTTCATTTTTGTCTTGCATGTTCTCCTCCATCTCTGTATCCTGCGGTAAAAGAGAGGGTGCTGTTGGCTGACCCATGTGGGCCTCTCCAACATACAGTGGCTGGAAAGTGTCCTCCTTATTATTTGGATTCGTACACTGAACATTTGAGTTTGCAGTGTGGACGCCAGATTTATCACTAGTATCGCTGTCATCAGTATTGTCATAGTCGTTGTTGACAGCGACAGTGTCATCAGTTGCCATAGTGCTGGCTTGGTTTGGGGACACCTGATCCGTTTGATCAAAGGGCACTTGGTGAGCATTTTCGGTAGACTCTGGCACATTTGAAAGGGGGACATGTTCTGTTCTATCAGGGATAGGGAGAAACTTCAAAGATTTGTTTTTCGGTTCTGTAAACAAGCCATGAATAAATCTTGACCCTAAATCCATTGTGTTACAGAACATTAATTTGCACACTTCAACCTTGACACTGCCTTGCTTCAAATAGTACCGAAAAGTGAACTCTCGTTGGGAAGAGGGATTTGTTGTGTACTGCCTCACTTTTTGGACTTTGTCTACAAGACTTTTCACTAGTGTCTTTTTCTCTTCCCAAGTTAAACCCCAAAGCTCCTTAAACAGTCCCTTTCTGTCTTCCTCTGTCACATTCCCACACTTTAAATATTTTGACTTGCAGAAACACCTGGGTTTCATTTCCCTCTTAGGCCGCTCAATTCCTCTGTGTGTCATGTAAGGTAGTCCCATTTCTCTCTGCCTTTTGCGCCTGTTACATTTCCACAACTCTTCTTTCCTTTGACGCTTCCCAGGGGTCAAAGAATGTTCCTTTCGGCAATGCTTGTTGTCCTCCCTCTCTCTTCTTTGCGGTAAAAAGGAATGTGTTGGCTGGGCCATGTGAGCCTCTCCAACATAAAGAGGTGGGAAAGTGCCCCCTGTGTCATTTGGGTTCATGTACTGGAGATTTGAGGTGAGGACAGCATTGGTAATGTCACTATTGTTGGTGGTAGCAACAGTGGCATTAGTAGCCACACTGCTGGGTTGGTTCAGGGTCATTTGATCCCTTTGATAAAAGAATGCGAGGTGAGCATTGTCAGTAGACTCCTGCGCATCTGAAAAAGAGACAAAGTGTGATGATATTAATTTTTTTTTAAAATTTGTTTTATATTATGATGACATGATGGAAGCTTACAGCTGCAAAGCAGAAGTAGACATGACAAAGTGGATGAAGATGAAAATCCTACCAGCTTTCTTCTGTATTCCTAGAGCTTTCAGAATTTTTGTAACTAAGAAAAGCCCTTCTAATACCCCCCTCCCCCTTTTACATATATGCCAATGTACGAAATGGAAAGCCAATATAAACATAGTATTTGTGCATCCCACTGGAAGCTGGGAGCTACTGCTTGGGTTTTAACGGTTAAAGATAATTTTGTCATAAGTAAAAAATTTATGAGGATAAAATAGGGCTGACCTGGAAAAAAAAAAGGTGAGGGGGTTGTTAGAACAAAGCGCTTTCTTAGTTGTTATTATATATACATATATACATATATATATATATATATATAATATATATATATCAATATCAGTTTACCTCATCAAAGGCTGTATCATGACATTCACCAACTATATTAGTAAAATCCTATGTCTAGATATATTATACACCATAGAAATATAATATACCTTTTTTTAAAAACAGAGTGCAACCGTTTTGTTATCCATCAAACAAAACATTACAAATTATTTTTAAAACATGCAAAATATTATTATTAAGAGTGTAATGCTTGTTGTTTAGATATTAGAATGTATCACTGTCCCTATCATTTCAATTAATATTTAAGGGGAGGTGATGCTGAAATTGCACTATGTTTATAACTTTCCATATAATATGTGAGGCAGCGTGGTGAAATTAGGCGCTCGTCAAAATACAAAAATCAGAGAAACAGACATTTTTCCACCAGTTTGGAAATTTTTCTAGAATTTTTACTTTTCAGCTCAACCGCTTTCATGTCCATATAAATACACATTTCCATGTGAATTTTACTGAAAAACATTGACCAAAGGCACAAAATGTCATTTATCTGTTTTCAAGGACTCTTTAGCTATTAGAGTTACTAAACTTTAGCAGCCATTTTCTCACTAATTTCACCACTGAAACTAGGCAACTTCACTTCCTTCAATCGCAAATATCATGAGAGTTTCGAATCAGAAGTAATCGGTGGAGCTAAAACCCATAGCACCGTATTCTATATTACATAGTAATAGCTATTGTTGGTGCCAAAACCCGATTATCCCAAAACTGTTACACAAACTTTAACTTCTTGCAAGAAATTTTGTAATGAGAGACCACTCTGACTCTGAAACAAGAATAGAACAGAGGGTTGTTAGGGTTAGGGTTTGGGGTAGGGGTAAGGGTAGGGTAGGGTTGGTATTAGGGGTTGGGTCAGGGTTAGGTCTTTCCTTTGGTTGTTCGTTGGGGTGGTCACTTTTTACTGAAGTCCACCCTCTTTTAGTTGCCAATGAATGATGATGACTGTCACTTAATGATTACATCTCTTTCAAATTTTCCATGAATAAGCTGAACACAGTGATAACACAAATCATAATAGAATCTAACTCTAAAACTTACAAACGAGGGGGAGGACTTCCGTAACGAGCGACCACTATGAGACAGAGTAGAACAAAGGGGTAGGGTTAAGTTTTGGTTAGGGTTAAGGTTTGGGGTAGGGTTAGGGTTAGGTTTACGTCTCTTCTTTATTGTGTTTGTTAGGGTGGTCGCTCGTTACAAAAGTCCTTCGAAACGAAGACTGTCTTAAAAGAAAGTTTCTGTCCTCCATAAAGTAAAAAGTACGCAATCAACAGCCACTACATTTTGTGACATCATGATATCATGTCAAAAAAATCTGACATCCAAATTGTAAGTGCAGTGGTGAACGGGTCATAGAGCTGTGATGTGTAAAAAGTGAGGTGTTCTTGTGCCCTTTGTACAAGGCAGATTCGAGGATAACGGCTGAGCAAATTTAACAGTGGTGCAACCTTTCTCATGCTACAATGTCCGGGTTGTGATCAAATTTTCAACTCTTCTCTGCACGTCTGCAATTGAAACCCATGGTGATCTATACAAAGTAATAGGGAATAATGCACCATCAATCAAACAGAAAGGAAATGGATCAGGGAGGTTGAAGGTGGGAGGTCTTACATGAAATATGAAACGCACAGATAATATGGAGAGAGCAAGGTGATGCACATACATTGGGTTTTTTCGACATGAATGGCATCATACTGAGCTGGCTAGTCACACCTGGCGTAACTGTCAATGGTGACTACTACAGGTTCATCCTCAAAGACAAGCTGAAACCTGCGATCTAGAAAAAAGAGACGCTTTGCTTTTGATGAAGGCGTCATCCTGCATCATCCGATCATGACAACGCACCTATTCACAACTCCGGAGTTGTGAAAGCTTCTCGAGTGAGGGATACTCAGGGGAATAATTGGAACATCCACTCTATTCGCCCGATCTCGCCTGCTCATGAAACTTCCACCTCTTCCCTAAGGTGAAAGAAATGCCGAGAGGGGTGAGGTTGGCAAACTGAGGACGAGGACCAGATTCAAGAGGCTATGAGAAAAGCACTCGAGACCTTGAACAAAGGATCACTGACGGTGACTGACCACTGTCTTTGACCGCTGGGTACATCAAGTGGAGAAATGTTTTGAACTTGATGGTTCCTAATGTTGAATAGGAATTTGAATAAGTGTCTTGAACTTGAAGGTTCCTACGTTGAATAGGTATTTGAATAAGCTTTCTGATGATACCAAGTAGATCTGCAAGGTGATTTATATTATGTGTGAGGACAGCATGACACTGACAGGGGAATTTTATTCAGAGACAGACCTCGTAAGGCCATCTTTATTCGGACTCAGGTCCGAATAACATTTTATCATATTCGGACTCGAGTCCGAATATGAAAAAATGTTATTCGGACTCGGGTCCAGAAAAAAGGAAGTGTCTTCGTTCTATAGACCAAACGTCCAGTGCTTCCAATTTTCCGCCATTTTTTAGTTTCCCCCACACCTTTTCTGCTGATCCGATGCCCGCCGCCTCATTGATGCGCCCCCCTACCCCCCATGTTTCCCACTTTCTTTGTTGTAGAAAAAGGTAAAATTGAAGATTAGCAGACCACCTGGCACCTGCATATTATGAGCTGTGTAAAAAAAAAGACTGATTCGTTCAAATATACAAGCCTGTGTCATCTCGATTCAAGAAAAAGTTGTGTTGCTGTGTAGAGCTGAGCATACGAAAACTTTTGATTCCATAGACCAGCGCACAATTCATTACGTAGATCTACGTCAAGACTAGCTTATATTATTGTAATAATGATCAGTTACCGGGGAAAAAAAGACTGACGCGTATGCGACGTTCAACGCCCGGACCAAGAGTGCCCCCCCCCCTCCCCGACACGCACACACAGCCACACGTGTGCAGGCCGCCCATCCGATCCCGACACACGCTAACGAGCCATCTTTAATTGCTTCTGATGACCTCTTGACAAATAAACATCTAGTAGAAGTGCTATAACTTTTCAGGCCGGCCTCAAATTCATCATAAGATAAAAACTCGGCTCCTGTACAAAATGCCATTTTGTCCGAAGTGATCCCGGTCTCTACCCAGCCTGAGGCGAGTCATGAGTGAGGTAGGACAGGAAGCCGGAGTCACGAGTCACAGGAAGTCGGAAGTCGGAAGTGATGTCCTGCTGGACAAGAATCAGAGTCCGAATAACATTTTTTCATATTCAGACTCGAGTCCGAATAATCACTTCGACCTCGTAACAACCCTGAACATTATCCTATTCATTACTTTATTAAAACTAGAGATTCTAGATCTAGATCTCTAGATCTAAGATTCTAGATCTAAAATCTAGATCAATATAATATCTAGAATTCTTGATCTGATAATATTCACCGACTGTTACTAGATTCTAGATCTAGATCTAGATCTAGATCAAGATCTAGATTCTAGAGAAATCTGGTCAGACAGTCAGATAGAGACAGCAGACAGACTTAAAATTAAAAAACAAACAATTGGCTTGGCATACCAATGTCATTGTAATTGTGGATCTCTCTTTCACAACTCATCACGAATAAAAACAATACTCTTTCTATTAAATTGTAGATCTAGATCTACACAAATGAGCTACTGGTTGTGTGTTGAAAACCACTGAAAAAAGGGCAAACAATCAAGCCCTAGATCTAGATCTAGATCTAAATCTAGATCTAGATTCTAGACTAGATCTAGAGTCTAGACCCGAGGCCTATCCATCGACAAAACTCAGTCGAACTGTGTACACTCCACCGTGTTCTAAACCTACTCTAGATTCTAGGCTCTATTGCTGAGACTGAGAGACTTACTGACTGACCACTGGCCACTAACCACTAACTGATGTCGAATGAAGAAGGATAAATGCCTGAATGATCTCGGTTAGGCTGGATCTATCTAGATCTACATCTAGATCTAGAATCTAGATATCTAGATCTAGATCTATTAGACTAGATCTATATCTAGATATAGATCAGTTCTCCGCTGTTGATCTTGAATCTTGATACATGTACGTACTTCTAGATTCTAAATCTAGCAGTAGCCTCTCGATTCTAGATCTAGCCCTCAAAGCAAAATGAGAACCGAACAAGGAATCAATCAAAAACATTTTCTTCTCCAAAAATATTGTTTCTTTCTTTTTCTTACAGAATTACTAAGTTAATAAAAGCAGTGCATATCATAACATATAATTTTGAGAGACCACAGGAGGATTTCAAAATAATAAAATTAATTCATGAATAAAAGTTGCGGTTCGTTTACTTTGTCGGTCTATCAAGTTTTGACAAAGGAGACCCCGGAAGCTATCTAAGCGTTGACGTGTTACTCCTAAACTCCCTGCGTTGAAGAGTCATGTTCAGTAGTTTATTCCCAGAATTCCACTAAAAGTTGGTCTGTCATATCAAACATGGCGGAGAATAGTGCGGATGCTGCGAAGACTGGTGTTTTGACAATTACTGTCAAAACGCCGAAGGAGAAGCATAATGTGGAAGTAAAAGAAGGAGCTTCAGTTCGAGAGGTAATTTTAGGGTAGATTTGATAAGTGAAGATACATATTTTAGAGCCGTATAAAGCTTTTGTATCATAGCTGTGTCTGTGTTTTGGTTTGACACCTGACCTGACCCCGCAGTTTGATGAATCGATTGGTAATACACTAGCCCTAGCATGTTCTAGTATGTTCGTAGCGCTAGGGACAGCACAGCACACTATTGTGACAGATGAACAGGAAGTGTAAATGAACATTTCAATTAATAGCTCCTTGTCAGATATCAGATGTTTGCGTACAACATGATTGTATGAAGTTGAAGACAATTCACACATATTTGACCATGGCATAGCCTGCATTGATAAAGTGCCTATCATCAGGGCATATAGAGGTATAGTGAATAGAGATGATAGAGGCTACACACACATTATTATTCCTACTTAGTCTGAACTTGGACTTCTGGAACATGTCTTTTTTATGTTAGATTTATCTAATTTTAAGGGAATATTGAAGAATATATGGCCTACACCGGACCACTCTCATATTATTGCGGGAGAATGGGGGGG